GCTGAGAAATACAAAGTGGAGGACGAGCAGCAGAAGGACAAAATCGCTGCCAAGAACTCGCTGGAGTCCTTCGCCTTCAACATGAAGAACAGCCTGCAGGACGAGAGCATGAAGGGCAAAATAAGTGAGGAGGAGCAGAAGATGCTGCTGGAGAAGTGTGAGGAGACCATCAGCTGGCTGGAGAGCAACCAGCTGGCTGAGAAGGAGGAGTTCCAACACAAGCAGAAGGAGCTGGAGAAAGTGTGCAACCCAGTCATCAGCAAGTTGTATCAGGGAGGGAGGCCTGCAGGCAGCTGTGGAGAGCAGGCAAGAGGAGGCTCCCAGGGGCCCACTATTGAGGAGGTGGACTGAGGGGGCCTGAACCTGGACTCTGGCAGCACTGGGACTGTTTGGGATTCAAACTTTATCTTCTGACTTTGGTCCTTTTCTGATTGATGTAAACGTTTTGAACTTTTCCTTGTAAATATTTTTCATCAGTTCTGGGCTTTAAATAAAAACGGTGACTTTATAATTCTTGTTCAAATGTTCTTCTAGAAACACTGAGGCACTAAAGTTTGATCAAAGTGTCATCTGGATGTTGTTTTCATCTCTGCTCTGCTGGACTTTGCAATAAAGATGAAAATCAAACAGAATATATTACGTTGTTTTTTCTTTCTGGTTTTCATATGGCAGTTTGCATCTTCTCCCGGTGCCGTGTTGGTTCTCTCCAGGTTCTCCAGCTTCCTGGCACAGTTCAAAAACATGTTGAGGTTAATTGGTGATTCTAAATTGTCCGTAGGTGTGAATGTAAGTGTGCTTGGTTGTCTGTCTCTAAGTGTAGCCCTGTGATAGACCGTTTGGTGTGTTACTCTGAGCTGTTTGAAAGTCTTTCTTCTGAGTTTTTAAATACCTGCAGCAGCATCAATTTTAAAAGGGAGCTGCATTCAATTCCACAGTGACTTTAGTAATTACTGTACAAAAAGTTTGGCTTTCATCACACATGGACAGAATTTTCACAATTGTTATTCATTTGGGCAGTTTGATGAGCTGCTACTGGTTTAGATTTGGCTTGTTATTGCATTGTTATATATTATACATCACTTGGTGTTTTGTCTAATCTTGTGTGAACGACAACTATAACGTGGAAACATTAACAGAAAAGAGATTTCTGTCTGAATGATAGAATGCCATCAATGTTCTTGTTAACAGGTTAGATAAGTACTATTAACTTTCCTTTAAACCTTACTTTAACCTAAAACCAGCACAGTAGTAGTAATTGAACGTGTTCTGCAGGTGTTCTGGATGTTCTGGTGCACTGAGGCTGAAAAGGAGCCCTCAAGACGGAGCTCTGTCCGGGTCAGGATGCACCAGCAGCGTGTCGGTTGGTTCTGTGTGGAGGGTCCGGCCGGACGTCAACTTTTCGGTTCATTCCCTCATATCCAGCTGTTTATATCCGCCGCTGTCAACAACAACAACGATCCGCTGCTCTCACTGCCGACCTCCCAAGTATCGCGAGAGCCGCGGGACAGAGCGAGAAGAACGGGTCCAGGCAAGGCATAGCAATATTCATATTTAGCAACAACAACAACAAGCTTCAGGAGGATGTTTGTTCCGTTATGTGGACTGGAAGGCTGACTGCAGGTGTGCCAGTTTCATCTGGAGCCGCGGAGCAACACGGCGGACTGTGATTTACAGGTAGAGCCGACACCGCACGCTGCGCTGGACCAATATTGATAGCTGGGTTTATTAATAGCTAGCTAGCTGGCTAACGGTTAGCTTAGCTCGCAAAGAATCTTTGGCGTTAGCTGCAGTCCGATGATTCAATAAGTGCTCATCACAGCGAGCCTGAAAAACACCTGAATATGAGCGCAGATGGTGAATAAAAAGGGGAACGAAGCGCAGCTTTGTAGGCAACCTGAGCCTGGCTAGCTATTGTTAGCTAGCTAACGTCTTTAAAGAAAGCTGAATGAGCAAGACTCACACATTGCCTGCTACTTCGTGTTAGCAGCTAACGAGTGAAGCGAGTTTGTCTGATATTTATGTCACTTAACTCCTCTTTCAGATTTACTACGTGTGGTTAGTGATTGTTTATCAGTGTTACAGTGGCGGGAGAAGTATTTACAGCCTTTATTTCAGTAAAAGCACTAACAACACGCTGTGAAAATACTCAGCTACAAGTAAAACAAGTATTATCCAATAAGTTACTTGAAGTATTTTATATGACTGAAATATGTGACACTAGAAAATTTAGTTTTATTCATTTATATTTAAATCTGTATTCAAACCATAAAATTACAATCTTTATTGTTTAACTTTGATAACTGCAGTAAAATTGACTTTAAATAGCAGACTAACATTTGCTACCTGCCTTAGCGACACTTTACTGCTTATCCTTACACATGTTTACTAAATTAAATGGAATTTTCAGTCCGAAAACATTTGCTGTGGTGGAAGAAGTATTTCCACCCTTTATGTAAGTGAAAGTACTGACATCACACTGTGAAAATACTCAGCTTCAAGTAGAACAACCATTGTCCACTAAAGTTGCATAAAGTTTTTCACATGGCCACAGAAATATGTGCAACTGGAAACTGATTTTTTTTAAAAACACAATTGGACTCTGTTTTATTTAAGTTGGATAACTGCTGTAAAATTGAATTTGAATTGTGTAATTTGCAGACTAATATTAAATGCCTACCTTACCTACATTTTCCTGTTTATCCTTAAACATGTTTACTAAATGATATAGAATTTTTCGGTCAGAAAACATGTGAAGTGAAGCTGATATAATATTTATGTCAGTTAAGGCTACTTTGACATGTGTTTGCATCTTTTATTGTTGTAAAAGTACAAATGACACATTGAGAAAGTGCTCGACTACAAGCAAAAGAAGTATTATCCATTGAAGTTACTTAAGGTGTTTCATATGGGCAGAAATATGTACCACCAGAAAGTACATTTCAGTCATTCATGCTGGAATTTCATTTGCTCAGTTTAAAATCTATAAAACAAGTCCACAGTGAGGGGAAATGTAAAGGGAGCAAAAAAAAAGAAAGAGTGAGATTAGTTTGTCTGCATCAAAAATAAAAAATGAGCCTAAATGCGACAGGGGCCACAAAAAATAAAAAAACATTCAGAAGCTGCGTAGAGTTCAGAGGGTTAAAATCCTTCTATTTTCCTTGAGTTCCTCTTAGTTTGAGTAAAAGTTTTGTTGATTACTGCTTTATTTTTATTGTACCTTCAACTGTTATTCTTGATATTAAAGTGAATGTTTGAGCAGAAAGACCCTGATGATTTGAGATGAAAAACTGATGTGCAATTTTTAGTTTTTCTGCAAAATATATATTGGAAAAGTACAGGAACTTTCACCAGACCACTTGAAGAAATCTATTTAGAAAGAGTTGGAGATGGTGGGGTAACCTCAGTCCTGTCTTAACCCAGATGATTGTATATTGGAGAGTTTTTATCGCATGTTAATTTAAAGTTTGTGTGTTTTGTAGGATGTGGCCACGCTTCTCTGGATGTCCGACAGACGGTGAAGAAGAGGTAGACCTCCTGAATCATCCAACCTTCAATTTACTGACTGTCTGAAGCTGGATTTTCTCGCTGAAACGATTAAATTCCCCAAAATAATGTAGCAAACAGCTCGGCCTTGGAGACGTCTGACCTCTGTTTAACCCTCGCATGGGTTCAGTGCATTGCCTTTTTAACTCTGCGTTGTAGATGGGGCTTCACTTCACACTCGCCTGTAAATTAGCAGCCCGATGGTCTGTGTTTGCCCCCCGTCATTTACTCCAGCTGTGCAGCCGCTTCAGGTTGGTGTCTTATGTTTGAAGTGATTTGACGGATCTTTAGGAGGATGAACGGCTCTCTGTTGACTCCGCCCAGTCCGAGGGCGGCGAACTCCTCCCCTTTACCTCCATCACCATCCCCCTCTCCATCCCCTCCTTCCCCCTCTCTGCTGCCCCTGTCGCCCCGGCCTCCCCCTCTCCCGCCCCTGGTGAGCCCCCCAACCCAGGCTCACCCGTCCTCCCTGTCCGACACCCCCACACCCTCTCCCTCGCCCTGCCTGAGCTGGACCGAATTCTGTGAGCTTCATGCCCGAGTCGCGGCTGGAGACTTTGCACGCCACTTTCGGGCTTTCCTCCTGGAGAACCCGCACTACTCCACTGACTCGGCTGCCGCCTTCTGCCGGCGCTTCACCGACCGCTTTGTGCGTCACTTCCAGAGCGAGCTGGAGGGGGCGCTGCCACCAAGCTGTGCTTCTGGGAGGGACGAGATGGTGAGCTGGGCTCCCCAGTCTGATGCTACTTCGCTGGAAGAGGAAGCGGTCTCGCCCTTGTCAGCGACCGGGGCAGCTGTCCTCCCGCAAACAAACGCGACACGGGCCTCGTGTAAGCCTGCACCAACACGGCTGGTGTTGGAGAACCGCAGCGGGGACAGGTTTCAGGATTCGTACGCCCACGGCCAAGTCCTGCCTCCATCTTCATCATCGTCGTGCTGCTCCTCTGTGGGAGGAAACAATGGCCGGCGTGAGGAGAGGGCCGCCATGATGGCCCCCGGCAATGGAGAGGCGCCTGTTGAGGAGGAGGAGGACAGCTGGCTTGGCGTGGCGTCGGTCGGGGAGGACGTCGAGCCAGAAGAGCGGGAAGCGGAGTCCTCGGAGGTGGACAACGCCGATCCCTCTCACACTCCTCAGATGGCGCCCTCCTCTGTCACTCCTCCGCCCGGATCCAAAGGTAACGGTACACCCAACTCCTCAAAAAACAAACTAAAGAAGCGCTTCTCGCTGCGCAGCGTCGGTCGCAGCGTTCGGGGCAGTGTTCGAGGAATCCTGCACTGGAGGAGCTCCTCCAGCGACTCGGCTCAGAGCCAGCTCCCCTCCAGCTACAGCTACACTATGGGTGTGCAGGACGCTAGCTTGGTTTCATCCTCCAAGAGGAACTCTGGTACACAGCCTCCGACACCCACCTCCTCCATGCCGGTGTCCCTGTCCATGCCCCTCTCCCTGCCCCATTCCTCCTCATCCTCCTTGCCACCTTCGTCCTCCAGCAGCGCCACCTCCTTGTCGCTGTCGGAGGCGGCTCGTGACCGGCGACGGAGCAATGGCGAAGGAGGCGAGAAAGAGAAGTGGAGCCATCGTCTGGAGAAGCTCCGATTGTCCCGATCCCCTCCGCCCGTCCTAACCCCGACCGCCGCTGGCGCCTCCACGCTGCCTCCGAGCAGTGCCGCTGCCGCCATGGGTCCTCCAAGGAAGGTGGGCCGGCTGGTGCGGGAGGGCGGCGTTAGCGTCAGCTCGTCCAACGACGAGTTGAGCGGCAGCCACGGCTTCTCTGGCTTCTCTTTCGGGCTGCTGCATCACAGTACGGACAACAACAACGCTGCCTCGGCTGCTGCTGCAGCTCAGGCAGGTCCAGTGCAGCCTCTGGCCAGCGGAGGAAACGTTCCTTGGAGGGGAGGACGCTGGCATAAATGTCGGCTGGTCCTCCGAGAGCGAGACAGAGAGGGCGGTGAGCGTGGAGAGGAGTACTACCTGGAGTTCTTCATTCCACCAAAAGTAAGTGCTTCCTCTCCTGTGACTCCAAAACACACTGGCCACTAAATCTAAGTTTAAAATGGTGATATTTAATGAAAATCACTTTTCTTCCAGAATAAGTTGTTCGCACTAGATTGTGTAAAAAAAACTAACATTCTAAGCTGTGACTGACAAACAGCAGCCGGACAGAAATTCAGGGACTATTTGGCTTAACTGCGGGCAGAAAGCAGAGATGATATAAGCATGAACACCACTTTGAAATTCACATTTAAAAGTATTCTATATGTTTTCTTTTGACATTAGTTTCATTGTGAGGCACTTTGTAACATGCGTTACAAAGAAAATTATTGTTACATGTTGTATCCACCCATCCATGGCTGCTTGATAATTGCTAACATTGTGATGATGAACTAAACGGTGAATCGCTGTTTGTGTCCTCAGTCCTCGAAGCCTCGGCTGACTGTCCCCTGCTGCTCCATTGTGGACGTGAGGAGCACCACGGCGCTGGAGGTCCCTGACAAGGAGAACACCTTCCTGCTACAGGTAAAAAAAAAAAAGCAGTATTGTTTTGGTTCTGTCACACTGAGGCCCTTTCAGACCGGAGGGCTTGACATAGCCGGGCTTTCTTTGTGTAAGTTGGCTCAATTGAGATTATCAATACGTACATCACTTGGTTTACTGTTCAATCTCATTTGAATACTTGTAATTGTGTACGTGCCATGTGATTAGTTTGTTAGTTTTTATTTATTTTTTTTTTTTTTACATTTTTGGACATTTTCATTTTGTTTTATTAAATGTAAAATAAATTACTTCTCGTTTTAGAACTTTTACTTGGTTTTACTTTAGTTTTGTTCATGTTTTGTTGGATTTGAACTCCTGCTGTTCTTCTTCTCCTCAGCTGGACGGACTGACTCAATACGTGATCGAGACCAGAGATGCTGTTCAGATGAGAGCTTGGCTGAGTGACATCAGGAACGGCATCTGTCTCAGGTAAACCTCCACCTGGCTGCAGCAGGTATTCGGTCTCTGCCTCTCTGTCGGAAGTGAAGGTCTGAAGGTTTCACCTTTGTCCCACAGTGAGCAGGAGGATGCTGAAGGTGTCTGTGGTCCATTAGACGTCAGCGGGACTCCTGAGATCGGAGATCGACTCTCACAAGGTCAGTGTGTGGTGATGTTTTTCTGGTTGTTTTTGCATCTTTTTCTGGTTATTTTTTGTATTTTTATGATTTTGCATCTTTTTGTACTTATTTGGGTCTTTTTGTGGGTATTTTGTGTCTTTTTTTTGATGATTTTATGTCTTTTTGTGATGATTTTGCATCTTTTGGTGGTGATTTTGTCTTTGTGGTAATTTGACCTGTCAATTTTTTTTTCTTTTGTGGGGATTTTGCATCTTCGTGGTAATTTGTTGTCTTTTTGTGGTGAATTTGTCTTTTATAATGATTTCATTCTGTGGCGTGTGATTTTGCATCTTTTTTGGCGCTTTCTGTGCTCTTGGTTTTGTGTCTTTATGTGGTGTGGTCACAGCATCATTTTGATACTATGATAATTTAATGTATGTTTGTGGTGATTTGTGTCTTTTCATGGTGGTTTTGTTTGTTTTTTGATTTAGTTTTAGCTTAAAAGTGCCCAGACTTTTGCATGCAGCTATATTCTGATCAGTGTCTCTGGATAAACTCCTGATATATTTATGGTTTTCAGTTTGTGCAGTCATTTAGGACTGTAATAATCTTTTTCTAACCTTCTTTTTGTTGGTTTCAGTGTGCTACGGAGGTATCGGAGGCTCGTCACCTCTCATGGATCCTCTCCCACCGGAGTTGCCGCCTCGAGCGCCTCTCGACGAACCAGACGGCAGGATTCTCGGCGGAGGTGGAGCTAGTCTGGGAACGCCGTTTGCTGAGACGCCAGACGCCACAGGTAAATATGATCCAGGGGTTTATAGAAACCTAAATATTGAACCAAAAGTGCGTGACATCTACAATTCATTCATTTTGGAACATTTCGATTGTGTGTAAAAGTGTAACTTTAGTAACTTTATTCCCGGTCGAGGTTGTTTTGGGAGTGTTTCATCTTTTTTTGTGGTGATTTTGGCTGGTAATTTTCATCTCTCTGTGGTAATTTCACATAATTTTGTAGTCCTTTGCATCTTTTTGTAGGGATTTTGCCCTTTATTGTAATGAATTTAACTCTTTGTGGCTGCAGAAGCTTTTTTTGTCTCCTCTGTTAATGAACACAGTCTATGCAGTGAAAAGCCTGTGTACCACATATTTACCTGTCCAGCATTCAACCATTATGTGTCTGCGTCGCCTGTACAGGTTCCTTCCTGTTCTCGGAGGTGACGGCGGCAGAGACGGTGGAACATCCGCTCAGCGAGTGTCAGTGGTTTCACGGCACTCTGTCGCGCCTCAAAGCCGCTCAGCTGGTTCTGGCTGGAGGCCCGGCGAGCCACGGCGTCTTTCTGGTCCGTCAGAGTGAAACCCGCCGCGGAGAATACGTCCTCACCTTTAACTTCCAGGGCAAGGCCAAGGTGAGTCCAGGTGTAACTCCAGGTGAAGGGCAAGTAGGAAAATCAGCTGTACTTTTCTGCACTGCCATATGTGCAGTGTCAGATGTTGTGAAGGGTCATTCTGGACTACAATACCAATAAAAAGTGAAGTACATCCCATTGAAAGTGTTCCCCTTTGGTTGCTTTTTCACATTTCACACAACCGTGTGATTTGGTGTTTTGAAGAAGAATTTCCAAATTTACTATGTTACAGTGAAAACAGATTTATACAAACTAATGTTAATTGACTAAAAATGTAAAACATAAAATAAGTTATTGCACAAGTCTTCGTCCTCTTCCCATCAGTATTTAGTAGATGCACCTTTGGCTGCAGCTTCAGCATCGATCCTGTGTTGGTCTCAATCAGCCTGAACATCTGGATGCTACAATTTTATCTCCTTCTTTTTAAACCTGTTCAAACTCTGTCTGGTTACACAGGGATCGTGGTTGGCTTGGGCTGTTTGCTTCGGTTCATTGTCTTGCTTTAAAACAAATCTTCTCCCAAGTCACAGTTTTCTTGCAGACTGCATCAGGTTGTCCTCCAGGATTTCTCGATACTTTGCTTTTCTCTATACAAAAAGCTCCATTTTGGTCTCATCAGACTAAAGAACCTTCTTCCAGTTGAGTTCAGAGTCTCCCACATGTCTTCTGGTGAACTCTAGTCCAGATTTAATATGAGCTTTTTTAGTTTTCTGTTTGTCACTCTCCCATAAAGCTGTGACAGTCGACAGTTGCTGTATGAACAGTCTGCTGAAGATGAAGCTTAGCTGCTGAAGATTGTAACTCCTTCAGAGAAGTCTAGGTGTCTTGATGGCCTCCCTCACCAGTCTCTTTCTTGCCTGGTTTTTGAGGACGACCTGCTCTAGGCAGATTTACAGATGTGCCATATTCCTTCCATTCCTGAATGACGAATTGAACTTGACTCCAAAGACTATTCAGTGACTTGGATATTTTCTTGTATCATCCCCTGACTTATGCTTTCCAACAACCTTTTCACTAAGTTGCTTGGAGTGTTCTTTTGTCTTTGTGGTGTACTTGTAAACGACAACATTTCTAAGGGGGGAGAATGCTTTTACAAGCACTGTATGTCAAACGTTTGTTAGGATTCATGTAAAATCTGGAATTTACTGAAAATACCGAAACATGCACATCACAATATCTTCCAAAGAGTGTCCTCCATGGGTTTGTCTGTTTTGTCTGACCAATCGCTAAAACTAAGTGAATAAAATACAAAATAGTTGATCATTTAAGTTGAATTTAATTGTTTTATTTAGTCTTAGTTCCTCAAAGGGTAGTTCTGAGCTTTAGATTTCAGGTTTTAAGTAATACGTTTTGTCTGTACCTCCCTGCAGCACCTGCGTCTGTCCCTGAACGAGGACGGTCAGTGTCGAGTTCAGCACCTTTGGTTCCAGTCCATCTTCGACATGCTGGAGCACTTCCGGGTGCATCCGATCCCGCTCGAGTCCGGCGGCGCCTCCGACGTCACGCTCATCAGCTTCGTGGGTGCCACTGCTGTTCGCCAGCCAGGTAGGAGCGACAACATGGCGGATACTACACCGATTTAAACTGAATTAGTCACCCCCAAGTTAACTTCGCTCAACTTTAGATTTAAGGGTGGTTATGACAGTCAGATTTGAGGAGTTGTGGTTGGCGTCTTGTAGTCAAATTTCCAACTTGCTGTTGTCAAAATTTTAATCATAAACCGTGTTTTTGTGTCTGACTGTAGTCTACACAAACCTACAACGCAGCGGGATCTGAACGTAGACCAACGTGGTTATAAAGAACGCACTTTACTGCTAAGTTGGATTTGTAATCATAGATGCGAGTATTGGTTCACAGTTCAGCGTTCCATGTCTCCTGTTGGTGGAAGAACCACAGCACCGGGTAGCTGATAGGGTTGTATCATACTTCAGTTATATTCTCCCAATAACGTGTGTTTATATGCTTTTATTTACTTTGTGATATGGTGAGGAGGTTATTTCATTACTGAATATGACATTGTGCTTGTTAACGTTGTGTTTTGAATAATGGTTAATGTTAGGATTTGATTAAAGCTGATTTTCTACAGTTAATGTTTAGCCTTTAGCTTGTGTTTTAAAGTTAATACCTGTGGAATTTGTTACCTGAGTTGACTGTTACTTTATACTGAGCGTCCACATTTGGGCATCAAGAACCGGTTCCAGCAGAGTAGTCGTGCCAAAATTCTGATTCCAGATGAACTGTTAGTAAGTTTTAATTTGGATCTGGCTTAGCTGTTACGAAAGGTGTCCAACAGGGCTTTATGCTTGAAGCACTTCTTTTGCTGTTCGTATCGTCTGTAAATCTTAATGCTGATGACGCTATTTTATATTGTTGAACCAACTTTATGCAAATAGCTTTTCAGATTATCAAACTCTCGGCTGGGCATCAAGAACCAGTTCCAGAAGTCCAGTTTTAAAGGAATCGTTAAGAAAGATTAGTTTCGATTCCGCTTATCAGTTGATATCAGGCTTATCTTCCAGCCATGATTCCCTCTAATATACTATGTTAACACTCAAATACATACACTAAAATCTGACTATTAGCCCATGCTTGTTGCTATGACTCTGTGTCATAGACATTAAACTGCTGCAGTTTTGCTGTTCAGACTACTATGTACGCCATAATATTGATACTCAAAGCAAACTAATTTAGTCTTTAGATTGTGACACCTGGAGCGGATGTAAAACGGATTTTGTTGCAGTTTTTACCAGAACGCAAATTTGTTTGTAGGCCCTGAACTTCTCATGATGTGTCTATCTGTTGTACTGATGAAGTTATGAGGCTCAGAAATTATGGAAAAAGTGTGAAATTTCCCCTCTGTGTAGTTAAAGAGCCTGTAGGTCTGAAAATATTCATAGTACAAAGGAAAAACTTTGCATGGCTTCATTAAGCATACTGAAGTCATTGCAGATTTAAAAATCAGCTGATTCTGTGGGATCAAGAAGAGACTCTGATTTTTTTAATTCAGTGGTGTCGGTATAAACCAGCTCTGTTGAGTTAGAGTGACGTGGATCTCCAGAGCCTGGACAGTTACCTCTGAGGTGTGAATGTACTGCTGAGCTGGAAACGAATCCATTAAATGTCATTATCTGTGTGCATTTGCATGCTTTTACGTACACACTGCATGATCTACCATTTCCAAAGGTCATATTAGCAACATTCTCTACTTTTGCTCCCTGAAGTGAACATTTAACTCATCTGTTGCCTTTCCTCTACATATCAGAGTCAGATTTTGGAAGCAAGTGACCATTAAAAATGTCAAATCATTTTTTTGTTGAAATTGGTTTTATCAAGCAAGAATTGATTCTCAAATCATCAGCGGCCTTCTGCTCGACCATTTCTGATCTGCTCGAATTTTATTTAACTTTTTAAATCAGAAAGTCTGGATATTTAAAATGGTGTCTGACATTTTAAATTGATACATCAAAAACGTTTAATATACATGTTTTAAAAAGCATGTCGACCCACTTTCAGCATTTCTTTTACACATTGAACTTTGAGACAACATCTCAGGAACTAAGATAAAACCTAAAGGTTCACTGATATTTCTAATTATGCCATTGATTTAGAATGTGTAAAATTGGACAAGAAGATCAGATAATCCCTGATTATAATGGAGTTGAAATATTTAAAAGAAAGTGAAACCATCATGAAAAGTCCCATCGTTGAGCTCACAATAACAAAAAACCTGATAATGTAGAAGCCACCTTCTGACTGTAATTACATGTCACAATACAAAACAAAACCTATAGAATACTTTATAATACCAAATACTTGATCACAAAAAAGCAAAAGAAGGCTTCATTTATTGAACTTGCATAACAAGAACTGCTAGAATCAATGACATGATGAGAAGTAACATTTAAAACTCTTATCTTAAATATTTCTGAGATATTGTTGTGTAAACAGCCTCAAATTTCAATGTTTAAAAAAAGAGATTGTCCTGGAAATTATATGATTATATCAGGCTAAAATGGAACAAATATCTTTATAAATATCCAGGTTTTATGCTACAAAACTTTCAGACAAATCAGAGATGGTCAGGAGAAATTGTTTTGAAGGTTTGATGATTTGAAATGATTCAAGACAACTTGTAGTTTGTTACCTGAAAAGACTCACCTGGCTTCCATCTGCCCGATGTGTGTGTCACTGTTCTGACCTCTCTGTTGTTGTTGTCTTGTTGTATCCGTTGGCTCGTCCTTTGCAGGCCGCGACAGGGCGGGCAGTCGGCCTACAGTCTGTGATGTCATCACCACGCGCCATCCCGACTCTCCATCAACCCCCATCTCTGACTGTGTGTAAGTGAGACCGGACTCGAGTGTGTGGCAGCGAGTGACTGAGGTGGTTTAGCTTTTACCCACTGACATGTGTATCAGTTTAAATCAGCTTTTACTGGTTTATTTCAGTGGTTTTTGTGGTCACGTGATGCTCCAGAACCAATCCACAGCCTGCAGTTCAGCCAAAAAGTCTCTGAATTTTTGCCATGTGACTGTTGGTCACAGCTGAGTCACTCATGGTTTGTTGGTTGCAACAAGGAGCTCAGATATTTTTTATTTTTCACAAAATTTTGTTTGCGTAAATGGTTAAATTTTGGTAAATTTCCAAACAAAAGTCTCAAAAACACTTGCACTCGCACGACTCTACTTTTTAAACTTTTGGATATGATCGTCCCAAAGAGTTTGTTTGTTCTAAATCACGGGAATCTTTACACAAGAGATGTACAAAGAGCAATTTTGATTGGATATCATGATTTTAGGCTTAAAAATGGTCTTGGAAAGTCTCAAAAAGACTCTTGTACACTGTCAAACTTGCAAAAATAAATTAATTTGCTCCAAGGAGCACAGACTTTTTTAGGATTGTTGGAAAGTTGAAAATCTGAGAATTTCTTTTCCTGGCTGATAAGTGGTGATTCTTAAAGAAAGCAAACATGCATTTAAAACCTGCTGGTGGGTTTTGTAGTTCAGAGGGTTAAACATGGAGTTCAGACTCAGCAGTTACACATGTGTGTGAGTGTGTTTGCGTTGAATCCGACGCCCTCCATGACCTCCATGGACTCCACGACCGCTGACTTCCTCCACCCCCGCTCACAGCCATTTTCTGTTTCCCTCCCACCGCTGTCTTCACCTCCTCCTCCCGTTATTTACACCTTTTCTCTTCTTTTCCTTTCTTTTCTCCTCCTCTCGTCTCTTCCTCACAGACTTGACCAGCAGACCCCGTAGCCCTCCTCAGCCTCCTCCGCTGCCGCCGGGCCGACCGCCGCCGCCAACTCCCCCCCAAGAGAGAGGCAACGAGACGGAGCCTGGAGCTGGAGGTGGAGCTGGAGCTGGAGGAGGAGGAGGAGGAGCGACTGTGGCGCCGATGGCCGCTGCTGGAGGAGCAGCAGGAGGCAGTGGAGGAGGCAGCGGAGGAGGCAGCGGAGGAGGTAGTGGAGGAGGCAGCGGAGGAGGCAGTGGAGGAGGCGTGGAGGACTGGGAGGAGAGGGACACTCCTCTCCGCCAACTGGAAGCTGTGGAGGGGGAAGAGAGGGACGGAGCAAGGGCCCCCCGAGCCATCGATAACCAGTACTCCTTCTTCTGATGAAGGTCGGAAGAGGAGGAGGAGGAGGAGGAGGAGGAGGAGGAGGTGGTGTTTGTGTTTGTGCGTTTGTGCGAGTGAAAGCGAGATTGGATGAGGCGGCGTACATCATAGCCATTCATAACCAGTATTTTTATTTTGTTAGCGAGGAGGAGTAAAAGTACTAACACTATACGAGAGAGAGAGAGAAGGCGGCTGAGAGCAGCTTCACGACACTAAACTAGCCGAACATTTCCTTTAGCCAGATAAGCTTTCTTTTTGCCGGGACGCCAGCAGACCCCGATACCTCACCACGGTCCACGCTAGCCAGAGGCCAAACACTCTCTACAGACATTTCTACTGCAGCGAGCAGACCCACAATGATACACTCTCACCACACCAAACTCCATTAAAAAAGCTGAATTTATTTGTTGCATCTACAGCACAAAGAAAAAAACTACAGTTTCTATATAATCGTCAAGCAAATTTAAAGACAACTTTGTCGCAACAACTGTGAATTACCCTGTTTTTTTTAATAAACTAGGCTGCGTAGTGTTGTCAGAGGGGAGGGCCGTGCTATAGGCCACGGTAGCTGTAATAAACAGTGTAGAGGAAGCCTGAAACAAAATCATTTTGGCAACAGCTGTCAGAAAAAATGTTGTCAATTTACAAAGCTGTGAGCCACGATAAGGGATGTTTCCTCAAATTTTGTCATTTCCATTAACTTTTTTAAATGCGATTTTGTATTTTCTTTTTTGCGACACACGTCAAATTCACTTGACTCATATGGAAACACAGTTACTGACTCTGTGTTTAAACTCTGTGTTGTGATGAAACTATAACACACCTAATTAAGGTTAAAACCCGGTTGTTTTGAGGTGTTTTTCATGAAACGAAAGAGGACCTAGAATCAAACCCTGAGGAACTCCGCAGGATGTTTCATGGTTACTAATAATAGCAGGCTGTTCTCTGTATTTTAAACAGAATTTAAACCAACAAAGTCCAAAGTAAATTTGGCGGCTGATATTTTCACAACACAGTCAGTTGTTGCGCTTCCATATGAGTATCAAGTGAATTTAAAGCAAACTTTTGATATGTTGCCACAAAACCACAGAATTAAAATAAAATAAAATAAAATAAGAAAATGATGGTATTCTTGGCAAATGTGTTTCAGTTGCGCTTGACGGTCATAGAGAAACACGAATGAGTCTGTGTTACCTTACTTGACAGAAATCTCTGCATGTCCTTTTATTTCTGACCACTTTTTACAAACAAAAATGTGTGTGACGCTTGACATGAAACTAATTTGGCACCGACTGAAACATTTTTAGGTGTGCCAAAGATTCCTCTGTGTAGGAAAAACTCTGCTGTTTTAATCAGCTGTCATTACCATGGAGGTGATGACGTTATTTTAGTATGACTACATCATCTGACCAACAGAAGTCCATGGTAATGACAGCAGCTGAGCTGTAAGGTCGACTATACTGACAAAAAATTTGAGGTACTGTACTCAAGCATCTAAACCAGCTGCAAACGTGACTCCAGTTTGCTGTAAAACATGTAAAATATTGGTAAAACAGCTCTGAAATGCGCTAGAAATGTAGTTTCTGAGGACCAGAAGTTGTGCTCCTGACACTGGGAGTTTGATGCAGATGATTCCTTTGGGTTTTAAGTCTTAAAGTTGAAATAACATTAATATACTAACCTTAATACATTATTACAGTCATGTCAGACTGAACAAGCGGGAAGCACCAAACCGACACGTGAAATGTGAATTAAAAACCAATCATAAACACATTATGTGATTGAATGTATATGACTAATAATAATATTAACACTAATGGTACGATTCACATGCGGGCTGCAGGTTGCTGATGTTTTCTAGCAGCAGCTGAGACATTTCTGAAGTTTTAATGGTACAAATTGATTTGAAAATAGGGGATGTTATCTGTGCTGGAGGTGTGCACATGCAAGTCACATGACTGATCAGCTGTTTCTGCTTATAGAGACTCCGGACAGCATGAAAAATTTCCAACACGAGCTGACGTAAAAGAATAATTACAACTTTAAAGATTGAAAACAATTCCTGAAGACTTTCTCCATTTTTCTGTTCTTCAAGGGCCTTGATAGTTGTTAACCACGAAACATCACGTGGAGTTCCTCAAAGGTCAATTCTTGGTCCTCTTTTGTGTCAAGAAAAACGCCTCCCGACAACAGATTTTAGAAATGGCTCAAAAAGCTTTAAAGTAATGGCTGTTTTCTGCGCTTGGGTGTGTTGAAATAAAGAGAAACCGTCCTCTGAGTTCAAATGTTGGATTTTTTTTAACAGAGTTTGGTTCGTAGCGTGCAGTGGGTCTGCAGCAGGCAGCAAACATTTACCTCAGTAAACTCAGCAGCATCACTCGGTGTAAATGTCTCTCTCTCTGTCTCTTTTCTCTCTGAGTCAAACAAACTGGGAGCTGTTTCAGAGAGGAATTACTGATCGATGACACCAATAGGAATGACGGAAATAATAATAATAATGGTAATAATAATAAAAATGACGGTCAGAATAATAGTATTAATTTTATTTGTTTTTAAGACACCTTTTTATTTTATATGCTTACTCCATGTAACACTTGTTCCGACTCCATCTTGTAATTCAAATGTCTTTGTGCCTTTTTTTATTTTTGGGATAAAAAGAAGGAAGAAAAAAAAACTATATAAGATTTGCTATGAGGCCTTTATTGTGAAGGCGACGAGTATCCCTGTTTTCACGCTGTCTTCTCCTCCTCAGCCTCATCCTGCATTCAAGGGTAAAAAAGAAAAAAATATAGCAGAAAATGTCAATGAAAATACCTACTTTTTCTACTTGTGCCTTTCTGTGTCTGTCGTCTCGGCCTGCATCAGTTCTGGAGCTCGACCCAGTCACCTATACCGGTCTTTTCTTTGCTCATGTATTCGTCTATATGCACCTTTCCCCTTCCGCCCCGATCATCATGTTGTGTCATTTTCTCAGTTTCAAAACTCTTTGTGCCTTTCTCTGTCTCTTTTCTCTCTTTGCTGGGACCGTGTGTTGAGGCCGGACAGCGTCGCCTGTCCAGCCTGTGTGGTTAGTTTCAGGTACTACATTGAATTTAATGATAATGATATAATATAAATATAGTGAAACATAACGACTGGTGTGTTTGTCTTTCTTTTCCGTCTATGCTTGATTATTGTCTGTAAATCACATTGTGTCGGTCTGAATTTAGGTTTAAGGATAAGATGGGTTCAGTTTTTCAAGTCTCAACAACACTTCAGTGAGAAAAAAAAAAGTCTATGATTTTAGCTTTCAAGGACAAAAACGTGAGGTCATTCAGGATAAAGCCAGGATTTTTTTGTATTTCAGTACTTCAGTACTTGGTAGGATAGTTTTTATACAGGTGGAAAAGTGGCAGGGTGGTGCACATGAGATTGTTCTCCATCACCATCAGGAGGCGTCGGATGGTCATGGATTCATTTTGGAGCTGAACAGCAAGTCAAAACATCGACAGTCAGAAAGAACTGAAGAACCAGGAGTCCTGCAGCAGATGGTCTGAACCCACGGAGTCCTGGTCACATGAAGAGACAGAAACTGTGAGACAGACTGAATCCAGAGACCAGCTGACAGCTTCTCCAAGATGCTCAAAAACAATGTCTAAAAAGCTAAAATAAATACAAAAGAAAAAAAAAGTCTAACACTAAATTTAAAACCAGTGTAAAAATAAATCCTGCATTAAGTTAAAAACTGATTTAAAAAAATAAGTTGATGCATCATCAAAATGAGTACAAACCTCCTTTTCCCCCTAAATATTTTGTAGTGTCATTACATCTGCCTGCTGTGTTTACCTAAAAAGTAGAATTAAAAACTAGACATATTTTTAGGTCTACTCTTAAAGGACATGTCCTTTAAAAATAAGTTATTTTATCAGAAAAAATAATTTGATTCCAGATAAAGATACTAGTAAATCCAGTGCTATAAACGTACTTTTTCACACAATTGTTTTGCACCACAAACACTCACAGTTTGTAGTTTTATTGTGCCTTATTTTCTAAAAAATAAAAATCTTCTTATGTAATATTTTCGTGTGGCATTAAAACTGAATTCATGTTAAAATCATAGTTATTTCGCCCTCCGGCATCGCGTTTACTGCATGGCTGAAGATTTATGATTAAAAGAAATCTTAACCAATCACAAAAAGGGTCAGAAATGATTGAGACAACGACTGTCCAATCAGATGTTGGTGTAGGTATGTGGGCGGGGTTTAAGATTGGTGCGTTTCTTACAGCTACTCGGCTGAGCCCGGTTTGTCCGTATGTGCGGTAAACATGCGACAAAACGGACTCCTTCTGACTTGTTAGATTAATTAAAATGGCGAATCTACATTAAATAAAGGCTTTTGACAACATATATCAAAGTTTTTACTTTTAATTCAGACACTTGGAGGAGTTCCGCCCGCCGGAATCCCTCCGTACCACCTGTACAGCGGTTGCCGGGTGTTTATTAATCGAGCGCACCCGGTGTTGTGTTTTGTTGTTGTTTTCCAGCCGTGTACCGTGTTCGGCCTGTCAAACCGTGACTTCTCACCGGAGCGACGACACCGAATAACCGGGATGCACATGACTAAAAAGTATAACTCACACGCTCAGACTCGCTCACCGTCACTTTCTAACGCTGCCGACATCTTTTCTGGCGGTTCGTCTGCGTCTCCGTCGTCTCCGCTAAGCTAGCCGCGTTAGCCTCCTCAGCTAGCTGCTTTTTACTACTCTGAGCAGCAACAACAACACAAATATTCCACATATTATCTTTAACAGCAGCAGTTTGAAAAGCGGTAGTCAGCTCAATTCTAGCCAGAACACCCGGTGTCAATGTGTGAGCTGCTAGCATGTTAGCTAGACAGGCTGTCTGTTGTTGTTTATTGTTCTCAGTGCTGCAGCAATTAGCAGCTAGCTAACGTTTATTTTTCACCTTTTTGCAGGAGCAGAAACACAATGAAGCCGCCGTCTCAGACTCAGTCCTCTTCTGTCAGCAGCCTGGTGAGTCCTGACCGACTGTTATCAGCAGCTGGTTAATTCTGTATACATGCCTACATGGATTCCAAAGAAATGCACATTTTTTTGTGGTCATGTAGTCAAATAAATAGCAGATCTTTCTATGAATATGCTGTTTCCCAGCTGCTTCCAACAGTAACTTAAGCTGCCGAAAGTGTACATTTACTCAAACACAATTTGAAGGTACCTTTACTTCAGTATTTTCCTTGTTCTACTCCTTTCTCTTTCCACTTCATTACATCACGGAGTGAAATCTTGTACTTTTTACTCCACTACGTTTATCTGACAACTTTTTTAAGATGTTGATTTGTCCTGCGCTTCCTTGCCGAAGTTATATTTTATTACAGAAAACACATTAATCCGTATATAGTGTCTATAAAAAGTATTTTCGCCTTTTAATTGCTTTTCAACATTCTGATCAATTAAATTAGGCTTTTTTTGACAGGAATTTACTCTTTTATGTCAAAGGGGAACACATTAGAAATCTGGAAAGAAGAACATGTAAAAAAAAACCAAAATAAATGTGTTGACCGTGTTAAATGAGGTGAGTCACTTTAAACTGGGTGACTATTTATGCAATCACTTATTTTGCATTTCATGTTTTTAATTAATTTGCCTTACAATTTAGAAATCTTTTTTCACTTTGACACCAGTCTTTTTATTTTTTATTCTTTTTGTCCAAAAAGCCAAATTAAGCTTGTTTCCTATAATGCATTGCAAGAGATATTTTGAAGGTACTCTGTGGGTAAAATGTGTTCAAATTAAAAAGTAGATAAAAAGGACTTTGCATAAAAAACACAGAAAAAGCTATAAAAAGTTCATGTTTCTTCTGTATTTGCAGGTATTTGAAGGCGTCTACAACAACGCCCGCATGCTTCATTTCCTCACAGCGGTCGTGGTGAGTATTGTACTTTTCTACTTGTCTTAGTTGTAGTTGGATTTTGGTGTGAAACTACCGACAGACAGAGTGAAGGTGCTTTCTGCTGCTTTCAGGGCTCCACCTGCGATGTGAGAGTTAAAAATGGCACCGTGTACGAAGGAATCTTTAAGACGCTGAGCTCACAGGTGAGAAGACTCTTTTTAAAGATTCAGTTCAATTATTAGGATACAAAACATTATGTATAGAATGAAGTTACAGGCGTTCCCTCTTCATGCTATCCGCTTAAAAAAACTGATTATTTAAAGAGTGTGCTATCAGGTAAATAGCAAATCACAAAGTTAAGCAGAACGTCTGACCCAGAGTTCAAACTTATGTCAAAGGTTTCACAGATTCATTCTGATGTTCTTGAATGACACATTTTTTGTCCTGTTATTTCTGACTATTTGATGAACAAGCTTCACTAATATGTTTGATAAATTAAACACTAATTAACAAAACTGGCTCAATTCTTTTCATTTGGTGCTTCCTAAACCTCTTTGGGGGGACATCAAACATTCCTCTTTGCAGGAGAAACTGTGCTGGAATTGAGGATTTTGCCTTCAGGCTGTAACTTGTCTCATTTTCTACAGTGTGAGCTGGCTGTGGATGCTGTTCATAAACGCAGTGATGGAGATGGAGGAGGAGGTGGAGGAGGTGAAGAAGGGGGAGGTCAGTCCTCTCCTCTTCCAAAGATCGAGGATATAACTGAAACCATGATCTTCAGCCCGTCAGACCTCGTCACTATGACCTGCCGGGACGTCGACCTGAACTTTGCCATCAGAGGTAACCACAATCCACTCAGAGAAATCTGAATTTAGAACATGTAGAGAGACAGAAGAAAAGTCTGAAACTAGTCTGGCATCGAATAAAATCTGTAAATTGTGTTGTGAGTGCAGATTAAATTCTGTATTCACAACAGAATCCCTGTTAAAAAGAAGAGGTTGTTGTACAGAATATCAATTATATCAATTTCTAAATGGTCACTAAAAACACACACATCATAAATAACAACTGAAAAAACATTCCTGATTTTGTTTTCATGCAGACACTTTCACCGACACGGCGATCAGCTCGTCGCGACTGAACGGCGAGCATCGTGAGAAGGTGCTGCAGAGGTGGGACGGAGACGGAAACGGAGAAAACTTTGAGCTGGAGGCCGACACGGTGAGAAAATGTTCACTCAACAAGACAAATGATGATGGAAACACATCCTGAACTCCTCCCACCAGGCGAACAAATGCACACGTTCATATGCAACAGAAACATGATCGAAAACCCGAAACATGAAATGTAATTATGCTTAGTGCAATGCTAAACTGTTAGCCACGTTAAACATCATCGTCAGATTGCAGGTAAATCCGCCTAAACAACTTGAAAACCGATGAGTTTAGAGTGAAGTCAGCACCTGGCCAGGACAAAATGAAAATCAGGTTGTATGGAGGCTGTATCAAAATACACTCAACCAGAGCGATGTGTAACTTCAGCATATTAAGTCTGTGGCGATTCTCAGTCATCGAGGTCGTGGTTATTATCGTAGATTAATCGTAGCAACTGGACTTGGTTGAATTCCTTGAAGTCATTTCACCTCTCATCCAAGAGGCTTCATCATTTCTGACTGAGTAGTTGGGCGTTTCAGATACTTAAGGAGCCATTAACACTTCAGTTTCGTCTTCGACTGGGGGGTTGCTACTCCTCCCTCTCATTATGCAAGTCGTTAGGACTCGCCCTGACACAATGGGGTTCGATAGGGTCTTTTTGTGGCTGGGGGTGAATGTGATTTCATCTTCCTTAGGATTGGATTGTAAACGGGTGTAGGTGGTGCCTCAGACCTCCACCTCTGTTGAGGGATGGTCTTTCCAGTTTGGCATAAATAGCTTCTTTCACTCCTCTCTATTCTTTTTGAGAGGACAGTTGGTTTGAGAGAGGAGTGAGTCCTGCAAAAGAAGGAAGACTTCTGCTGCTGCTGCTGCTAACGCTGCTAAATATCCGTTTTCTCTGCCAGTCAAACGGCTGGGACGCCAACGAGATGTTCAAGTTCAATGAGGAGACGTACGGCGTGAAGTCAACCTACGACTCCAGCCTTTCCATGTACACGTAAGTAAACTGATTCATTATTTCAAATTAATGAGGTGTTATTGGCAACAAATCCAACTGATAATTGTTTTCCAGCCCTGAAAATATGATGTGCCTATCCTGTGAAGTTGTGAGGCTCAGAAATGATGGTAAAAGTGAATAAAAAAGTGTAAACTTTGGACCCAACTCTGTACTTCAAGGATCTGTAACTGTAAAAATATTCATACTATGAAGGTCAAACTTTGCTTCGTTAAATAAACTAAAGTTACTGATCCTGAGGGATCAGAGAAACCGGTGGATTTTAAATGAGTGACTCTCGTGTTCACAATCAAAGATTTGCTGATGCACCATTAAATAATTAATGTCACAATAGATGAAAACAACCGTGATAATCTATTTTTGTTATTTATCATAGTTTGGGTTTTGTCATGTCGTTTTCCCAGCATGCCTTTGGAGAAGGGCAACTCAGAGGTTTTCCGGCAGCGGGAGGCGCGAGCAGCCCGGTTAGCCAGCGAGATCGAGAGCAACCTTCAGTATCGCCGGCGGGTTTCTCTGGAGAATGACGAGGGCCGGAGTGAGGAGGACAAGTTCAGCTCAGTGGTCCGAGACCGAGAGGACAGAGCGAGTCCCGGATTCACTGCCAGCAGCAGGTACGGCCTGTCCAGGTAACGCTTTGGAGACAGACCTTAAAAGATGTTATGACAAAAGAACAAGAGATTAGAGTTGATTTTAGTTGAATTTACTTAAACGCAGCCAACATGAGCTGAGTATTAACCGATGAGATAGACTGCAGCTCCGACTACAGGTACAATAATGCAACAATTTTTAGATATAAAAGAAAAAAACATGTTTTACGGCTGCATTTGTGAACAACTTGTTCTCGTGTAGATAAAAAACTACAGATGCCTGCCAGGGGACACACTTTTAAATGGATTCTAAACATAAAATGGTTTATTGTTGGGATCTCCTCAGGACACTTGTGGCCCTTTAGATACAAGATGTCACAAATAATTTCAAGTTAATGGTCAAAAATCATTAATCCACTGAACTCCAACAGTTTCTGGTCTTTTTTCTGCTCCTGTCTCATTTTTCCTCACCGTGGCTCATTTTTCTACTACAGTATAAAGTCTTTCACCTCTATTGAAACAGAAGGGAGAACTCAGAAATGTCTTCTACGTACAATAGATAGATTATTTACATTAAAATAATAGTGGGGGTTTTTTTGTGTTTTTTTTAAATAATAAAGGAACAAACATGTTTTCTGACAGTTGCATCAGTCGGCAGGATGGCAGCATCAATCCTGGTGTGTTTCGTGACTGTAAATCAGTTTCCTGCCATGGTTCAACGGAAACTCCTCTCTGTCTGACCTCCTTCCTGGAATCCCTCTCACTTGTCCTCCATCTTGTTTTCCAGGGAGGGTAAATACATCCCTCTTCCCCAGAGGGCTCGAGAGATCGGCCTGTCTGCCGGCAGAACCGGAGCCTCCGGTCGGTCCACGGCGCCAGCTTCTTCCAGACACCCGCCGCCCAGCTCCTCCTCCCCCAAACCGTCCTCTGACAGGAGCAGCCCGCTGTCCGTCAGAACCGCCTACTCTCCCCACCAGTCGCAGAGCAGTCCGCCGGCCGCCAGCAGCCCACCCTGCACCAATCACGTCCTCCCACACTCTCTGTCGCATCCGCAGGCGCTCGCCGACACGACGCGCTCGAACGTCAATGGAGGTATGAAACTCACAGCTCAACAGCTTCCCCTTGTGGTCAAATCAGTATCTGCCTCACCTGAAAGACCTTAGAATAGATGTTGATGGATATGTTGGGATAAATCCACGACATTTTCTAAGCCAGGCCATAGACAAAAGGTTGGAGCTACTCCTCGGTCGATCTCTGATCTTCACAAAGACATCAAACAGATGCAAAGTCGGAATAAGTTTCCTAAAAAATCTGGAGCATTATCAATCAGTAATTAATTAATTAAAGTAACTGTGGATGTTTGTCCTGTGCTGGTATTACTTGTATTTGTATGTCACCTAGATGTGTGAACGCTGCCCTGGTTGATCTTAGTTTGTCTTAAACTCATGAGCTCTAACTGGAGGTCTTTAACCATCACAGGAGTCTTTGTCATGTTGCTAGCTAAACCCCCGCATGTCTCTGCTTGCCAACATAAACAGTCAGTAGTCCTGGTGATCAGTTACTGTGGTCGCTACAGTATTAAACAGTCGGTCACTACAGCTCAACTACAAGACATTTTCTCACATGCAGGATCTTCTTTTGCTTTTGCCGTATCAGTTAATATATTTTTTAATTAACAGCATTTCATTGATTTGAATTAGACAAAATTGACTGTCTGACTACGTAACCTGTAATCTCCTGTTAATAATTAGTGTTTGATTTCTCTCTTTAAGTCGCATCGAGAACTTCCCCGAAATCCCAGAGACTTCAGAGCAACAGAACGCTGCGAACCCCGAACTCCCAGTCCTCTCCTGCAGGTACCACGAACATCCCCATTACCACAAATAAAAGTTCTTTATTTTATTTAAGTTAGATTTTAAACCTTAAGTCTCTCCTCACTCTTTCACCTCTTTAACCTTCTTCCATCTCTGTTTGTCTGAACGCCCCCCTCCCCCGCCTCTCCAGTCTCTCGCGCTCCGAAACTAGACGCCCCTTCCCAGGACCCCCCCTCGGTCGGTCCCGCTTACCTGGACTCCTCCCCATCCACCGTCACCACGGCAACCGCCACCACCAAACCCTCCGGCCCCACCCCTCTCTTTCCCGTCGATGGTGAGATGCTGCAACGATTAGTTTTCAACTCTGAAATGATTCAGTTTGTGCGTTTATTAAATATGAAACAGTGACTGCAGCTTCTTAATTGTGAATATTTGCTGATTTTGAGGATTTCTAAACATTTTAAAAAGAAGGTTTTGACCTCGAAACTGAAGCAAGAATATGGAATTAGTGGCAGTTGATTTGGTTTTAGCCAAATTTTTTAATGATTTTTTTTGTTTTTAGCCTAGAAAAAGTCTTTTAGTTGTTAGATCTTCTGAGCATTGGTTAGAAAAAATAATTTAGCTGATTAGTTATCAACTGTTTGATGTGAGTCATTTTTAAAGGAAAAAAAAACTGAAGAAATGCTGAGTTTAAAAATTCAAGTTAATATGTGTTTTTGTGTGTATTTTCTACAGTGAATGAAATCCTCAGCACAGCAGCTAAAGAGCGAACTGAAAGTCTGTCCAGTCCACAGGAAGGCAAAAGCAGCAAAGGTAAAGATCCACACCTGCTTCTTGTTTGTACCTTCTATTAAAACATACAGGCTTTACGTATCTATAATACATTATATCATCAAACTTCTGTTTAAAACCGTTCAAAAACTTCAACCTTTTCTTCTCCAGCTCCCTCAGTGCAGCAGAGATCCCAGCTGGAGGAGCTCCGCAAGTTCGGCAAAGAGTTCAGGGTAAAAATTAGCACGTTTTTAACCCTTTAAACAATCTGATTTCCAAAACTCTTGCTTGTTTGAGTGACTTCAGGGTTTCTGCAGGTCTTGAAAAGGCTCAGCGGAGTCGATAGTATGCTATCCTCCAACAGAACTGTTTATAACTGTTCTCAACAACACTTAAAGATCTGTATCATTGTTTTCATCAATTTCTGATTCAGACATGAAAACAAAAAGCAGAAAAATTTCCAGATCTGAAAACATATGAGACTCTCAAAATTCAGCCAAAATATTTCACAAAACTTAGTTTCGGATCCCAGATGATTCTTAATAAACAGATCCACATGGAAACACTCATTAAGGCAAAATAAGCTGCAAATGTTTTTAAATTTCAACATGAAGACAACATGAAAGCAGTTTGTCACTTATAATAACAACATTTAGACTCCTATAAACACTAGTTTTTGCTTCCTACTAATGAGTCCACATCAACATTTAGTCAAAATATCTAAAACTGGAATCTTGTCTTGTCCTGTTTTTCACACGTCAGATTCTCCGGATGTTAGAGACTCAAAAGTTGGTGAAATGTCGACCAAAGACTGCGTTTTTAGAAGGAATGCATCCAAATTTAAACACTCACAGGAGCTTTCTGGGGACACAATAACACCTTGGTATTGTAAATATCTAATAAGTAAACGCTGAACCAAATCTAAGATGGAATGGAAACATATTTCCTGAATTCTGTCTAAAACGACACAAACTGACCCAATAATAAAATAAACTCTGTGAACGTGCAGAAACCCTGAAGCTGATTGATTTTGTGATTAAAGCTTAAATCAATAATTCTGTTTACCACGAGGGTTCAGTCAAAGTTGAGCTTCACTGATCTCAGTAGTTCACTGGTTGTCCTCTGTCTCCATCAGCTGCAGCCCAGCTCGTCTCCTTCATCCAGCCCGGCTTCTGCTGATCCTCCTCCAGACCACCCTGCTCCTCCGGTGGAGTCTTCATCCTCGCCCTCACCTGGACCACCCAAACCTGCACAAGATCTTCAGCCGACTACAGAAACTACAGTTCCCACCACCTCCACAGCTGCTGCGCCGCCTCTTGCAGTGACACCTGGGCCCCAGCCATCCGGACCTGAGGGGCCACAGCCCGGTTCAGGCCAGCTGACCATACCAGGCAGCGGGGAGGAAGCGTCTCAGGACGGCAGTGACCGAGCTGAGGCTGCGAATGTCGCTTCAGCGTGAGTAACTAACACTTAAAACATCTGCTCGGGTGGTATTGCGTTTCCTCAACAGTGTTATCCTCAAACAAAGTGGTTTGTAACTGTTCAGAGCAACACTTAAAGGTAGAGTGACAAAAAAAGAAACCAAGTGTACTGTTGTCTTAATATCTTATTTGGAAATTACAATAAAAAAATTGGATGTCGATAGTTAACGTAGTGACTGTTGTGACAGCAGTTTTTAGCTTCTTATGCTAAAAGAGACGCATCCCCACATCATGATGCTGCCACCACCATGCTTCATGGTAGGGATGGTGGGCAGTGTCTAGTCTGGTGGCCTAAAAGCTTCATTTTAGTCTTATCAGACCAAAGAACCTTCTTCTGGTCGACTTCAGAGTCTCCTACATGGCTTCTGGTGAACTTGGTGGCCTTCCTAGTCTCTTTAATGTAACTCTTCCCTCACAGAAGTGTTGTTACTTCATGGCTTTTTTGAAAGAAAATTTTATTTTATTTTATTTTTTTTACATATTGTGTGGTTGAATCTTCTTTTATGCTTTTTCTTTTCAGGCAAGTGAAAAACTCGACATTGAATCCGAATGCAAAGGAATTTCTTCCCATTAAAGGAAACACAGTGCTGGTTAGTGTCGGATTTTATTATATTTACACTCATTTACATGAACCAAACAGGCAGCTCTGATTCAGATCCTCCTCTCTGAAATCAATTCCGTCTCTGTTATCTCAGAAGCCGGCGTCAACACCAACCCCGCCTCGACCGACCCCGCCCAGCCCCTCGGTGGTCCTTCCCCCTCCAGGACAGCCAGGAGGCGGAGCCATCTACAGCAGCCCACCTGGACACTACCTGTCCTACGTCTCCCCCATCACCCTGCAGGGACACTCCATCCAGGTTGGTGTTGTCGGCTGCTGTTTGTCTCTTCAGTCAGAGAAACTGATGTGGTTTTAATATGTCCCTGTTGTCTCTTCAGGCTCCTCAGATGTATCAGTACACCATGTCCACGGTCAATCAGGGCAAATACCCCCGACCCAAAGGTATGCACTGCACACACGTTATCATTTGTTTTTATTTTGACGTACAACTTTAAAATGTATAACTGAGGGTGTGGCGTCTTGACTGCAGCTTCATTGAGCTAAATTAGCAAGAAAAGACTGGTTGAGTAGTGGGTTAGATCTGGTGGATCTCATTTTGCATGAAAACAGAGAGTCTTGGTGGAGTCTGTAGATGATCGAAATGTTCCACGATACGGCGTTAGCCTAAATGATTTCTGAATCAACGTACAAAGCTAGCATTTGCACGTTTGCAGTATGAACCTGGTTATTTTCTACTGAAATAACAAGAACAAACTGCCCTTTTTTATATGATTTCTGAAAACATCTTTGAATAAATGTGCCACAAAAAAAATGTGATTAAAGCAGTAAATACACAAGAAAAACTTAAGATTAAAACAGAAAATATACAAGAAAAATCTGCCATTAAAATGGTAAATGTACATAAAAAAAAAAACAAACCTTCCAGCAGTCAATATACAAGAAAATAATATTAAAAGGGCAAATACAGTATACAAAAAGGAAAACGGAGATTAAAGAGCTAAATATTCAAGATAAAAGTGATTAAAGCAGTAAAATGGGAATCATACTTTCAAAACAGAAGTAAAAGAAAGAATAAAATCCATCAGCGCTCTGCTTTGGTTAATTTATTCCTGTGACTGGCTGTCGTGTTTCAGGCCCGGTTGTGGGTCAACGTCCAGACCACCACGCCTCCCCGGCCTCCTCCATGATCTCAGCTGCAGCCTCGGCAGCAGGACCTCCACTGGTGGCGTCGCCTTACCCCCAGTCCTACCTGCAGTACGGTCAGGTGATCCAGGCCATGCCGCCGCACTACCATGGACAGGTACAGCAGCAGTCATTCATGTTCCACACGGTAAAAACCTTCTGGAATTCTTCAGCTTTCATGCATAAACAACGTGTCGTAGCATCAGAGGTTTTTGGCTTCTTTCGGGTCTGCATCGCAATTTTAGGTTCCAAAAATGTTTGATTTAGAACCTGGTGCAGTTATCAATGATTTCTTTAGCTCTCAGTTTTCTATAATGGAATCATTGAAACACAAGCGTCTTTGTCACAAAATAGATCATGCATTTTGGTTCTTTCATAAATTTATTGCAGGTCTTTTGGAAATATGGTAAAATCTGCTCTTTCAAAAATATACATACCACAATGCTAATACGTAGAGCTAAGCTAAAGTTTTGGTTTCCTTCCACGAGCGTCTGGTTGTATCTTTGACCCTCCTTTTGACAGAACTGGTGCAGTTCAACTAAAATTACTGTCCTTCTGACACAGACTTGTTTCTTCATCACAGTCCACAGGTTCTTGATGGGGTTTAAGTCAAGAGTTTGGGCAGACCAGTCTCAAACCTTAATTCTAGCATGATTTAATCATTTCTTTACCACTTTTGGTGTGTGTTTTAAGTCATTGTCTTGTTGAAACACTCAACTGTGTCCAAGATCCAACATTTTGGTTGGTGTTTTTCAGTTTTCCTAAAGAATATGGAAGTAATCCTCTTTTTTCATGATTCCATTTACTTTGTGTAAAGCACCAGTTCTACTGGGAGAAAAACAGCCCCAGAGCATAATACTGCCACCACCATGCTTGATGGTAGGTTTGTTGTTCTTGGGGTTAAAAGGCCTCACCTTCTCTCCTTCAAACATATTCCTTCTCATTGTGGCCAAACAGCTACATTTTTGTTTCACTTAACCACAGAACTTTCCTCCAGAAGGTCTTTTCTTTGTCCATGTGATCAGCAGCAAACTTCAGTCGAGCTTTAAGGTTCTACTTCTGGATGCAGCCTCTCAGCTCATGTTGATGTAAAACACTGACAGCTGTGTTCCAGCAGCTTCTAATTCATTGCAGATCTGCTTTTTGGTGATTCTTGGTTGACTCTTTACCGTCTTGACTGGTTGTCTCTCGGCAGCAGGTGATAGTTTGTGTTTTCTTCCTGATCGTAGCAGTGACATAACTGTACGATGAACTTCACGCTGCTAAACAACAGCTTGTCTGGATGATTTTGGGATCTGAAGCTGCTTTGAAATGACTCATATCTAATTAGTGGATCAAATGGGCCCTAATTAAATTGACTCAGAGGAGTCAGCAGCTGTAGTCGATCATAATCACTGATAAGAAGTTAAGAGGCCATGAAAATTCAATTAACACAACTTTCTACATTCACATTTTTGACTCAGCAGATTTTCTCATATTTCCAGAATACATATAATAAATCTATGAAAGAACCAAAATTCATAATTGTCTTTTGTGACAGAGATTTAGTTTAGTTATTTAGTTTAAGTATATGTAAACCTTTGTTCATGACTGTATGTCACAGTTTGACATGTTTTACTCTTAATCACTTCATCTGTGAGTGGATATTTAGAAAATAGTTTTCCAGTGAAGCTGGATCAGTATTTGATGTGTGCAAGATCACAAAAAATGATTTAGAATAAGTTTCTTTTTGGTTCCATGAGTAAAAACGGGCTTTTTATTTGTCTTCCTTCCACCTTTTTTGTGATTTGCAGCCGGTTTACTCGATGCTGCAGAGCGGTGCGAGGATGCTGACGTCTGGTGCTCCTCCTCAGCCGATGGGTCCTCCTGGACCTCAGTATCCCGGTCAGGGCGAGGGCCCACCAGGGCCCCAACAGGCCATGTATGGTAAGTAGAAAACCATGTCTTATCTTAATGAAAGGTTGTTTTTTTTTTTTACAAACACACGTCAAGAGTTTAGTTTCAAAACCAGTGATAAGTTGTAACTTCAAGACTCTGAAAGTAAAGATGGTTTCCAGAATGCTGTGGTCTAGAAACACTCATTTAGAGTGACATCAACCACTGAACTGAAGTGAAACTCTGGATTTAAAAAAAAATAAATCACAAAACTTAAACTACGATTGTGTAAAAACCACAAAAGATTTCAACACTTCCTATTGTGTTATTTACCCACAGAAGCCCTGATACACAGTTTTCTGTCCAGGTTTGTAGCTGCCAAACGTCTGTGAGCACCAGATATAATAAAGGTTTAACAGAAAAGTGAATCTGTTTCCTATGTAAATTGGATTTTAGGTGGGAAACACTCATCAACACAAGAAACACAGTGCCTAAAAAGTAACTAAGATTTAAGTACGATAAATTACTGAACTAGAATAAGTACACCAGAATTAGACTAGAATAAAAGAGCAAAGCAGCAATTATACTGACTCAATATCACACATGGCAATGAGATATTGCACCTGAAAAATCTGATGAAAATGAAAAACATTTCACGTTACATTGACAGGATTTTAAATATTACCCATATTTGCACATTTCTGCAGGAGTTTTGTAAACGAAATGTTGATCCAGGAAGAATTTTGTGCCTTTGACACCTGAAACGTTGCCTCGTCTCTTTCAGCTCCTCAGTCCTTCTCCCACCACCAGGGCTCCATCCATCATCCTCAGCCCTCCAGCACTCCCACCGGCAGTCAGCCTCCACCCCAGCACACGGCACCCAGTCCTGGACATGCTCAGGTGGGCGCAATAACCACATATCCGTCCAATTAATCCAACTGAATCATTTGACAAAATCAATTTTAAACTTGCATTTGGCTGTTTTTGAAGACAAAACTAAAAGTCATACATCATTAAGACTGTTGGAAATTGAAAATCCAACAATTCCTCCTTTAAAAAAATAACAAAACTTTTCAAACCCATCGACGGGTTCAGAGGCTTCATACAGTTACTAATAATGTCTCCTCTGACTTTATTTACAACTCTCAGTTTGCTGTTTGTGTTTCAGGCGTCTCAGAGCGGCCCTCAGCCTCAGTCTTTGTTCCACTCTGGAGGTTTGTCGGCTCCGACGCCCCCTAACCTGCCGCCGGGCCACAGCTCCCCCCAGGCCTCCTACACCATGCAGGGCTACAGCCTCCAAACCCACCAGCCGCTGCCCCACGGCTTCGCCTCCATCAGCCAGCTCACACAGGTAGGAGCTTAAAACTACAGCCTCCATCTGCACATTTATTACTTATTTACAGGACATTCAAGTGAGGTTTTCTTCTTCTGTTTGTGGCGTCAAACCAAACTCAAGAAAATGGAAGCCGTTCGTATAAATCAGCTGGCAGGTGATTGGCTCACAGAGTCACATGGTCATTGGACCGCATGAGAGAGTTGATGTGAACTCAGGAGAGATTGTACAGTCTTAAATCTGACAGAATAAGAAATAAGCGAGGATGTTTCTGAGTTTGAAGTGACACATTTATGAGAATCCTTTTTTGTTCTTTTTTTTGTTGTTTTTTTTTAGTCTTAGTCACGTAGCCACATTGTGTTGCAAAGTTGCATCACCTTTGATGTTTCAGTGTCAGCAGATTCCCATCAGCCACTTATCTCAGGTTCTTAAACGTTCAAAAAATACTTGAGGTTTGAATGTGACTCGGTTTTGTCCCCTCCAGGCTCATGTACCAGGAGGTTTGTCTGGACCTCACCACACCGCCGGCCATGGCCCGCCGCCCGTCATGCTGCACTACGCTCCCACTCAGCAGGGCGGCGGCTCCAACCCCCAGCACGGCCCACCACCCCAACAGGGGGCGCCACAACACTTCTACATCGGACCTCCGCAAGGTAAAACAGTGGAGACAGAGTGGAACCGGTCCTTCAGAGCCACAGCAGTGTTTATATTACTGAGGGACAGTTCAGATACATAACTTTAAGTTTGGATCATTTAAAACAAGATTTTGTGTCAAGTGGTTGTTGAATATTCAGTAGAAGCATAATTAAAACTCTTAAATCTGTGCTAAAGCCTTCAGGGTGTATTGACTGAATGACAGTAATCAATGAAATAAAAGCAGAAATAACAGTTTCCAGCTTCTTGCAAAATTAAAAAGATTTAGAAATATTTCAAAGCAGCTTGAAGCAAGATTAAAACCTGATGGTTGAAATGAGAGAACTACCTCCAGTCATCGATACCTGATACATTTTCCTAGATAATACACTTTCTGCCTCTGGTCTGTTCCATGTAGGCGATCATGAACCTTGTTGTAAAGCAGAAGCAGGATACTGTCTGATACGTAGTGTTAGAGGGTAATGTGTGCTGTGGCTCCACAAGCTACAAAAGACATGTCAGCAAATGTTCTGTCGATCAGCTGTAGTACCTGGTTGTTCCACCAGGTGGGGCCTCTTACTGTTTAGTACTGTAGAGACCAGAGGAGGCGTCAGTCAGATGACAGGCATTGTGGGGGTTAAGTTAGCAGTGGACACCATGACAAACACTTTCATGGAGGTAATGACCTCTGAAAAGAGCTCATTGCAACCCCTCAGTGGGAGCTGTTTGATTTGTGGATCTATTTCCTCTGTGATTGAAAGCTGCATCTTAAAGTTTTGGTATGAATTTGTGGAGAGCTGGTTGTAACACTGAGTTTTTGTGTGTCTTCCAGCTGTGCAGGTTCAGGCTCACCCCACCCAGCAGCTGTCCTTCCACCCCTCAGCCAACTGAAATCCACCTGGACAGCGTCACCCTAACATTCCCACCTCCTGACGTCAAACTAACTGGCCCTGATTTTTACCCACATCTTTTAGAAAAGCAGACGGAGGACAGAAAGTCTAAACCCTTTGAGGAACGAAGTTTTTGGATTTGGAGATTTGCTTACAGACTGTTTTAACACATAGACTGAAAACGTTAAAACTGGTGGAAACTTTTGGACTGACAATGTTGTTTTCCCCCCATCCCTCCTTTGTCCTTTTACAGACGAAACCAGTTCATTAATAAAATAAAATAAAAAAACAAAGAAAAAACACTTAAATCCTGTCTCAAGTAATGTTTTTACACCAACATTATAAGACTTTGAAGACTTTATGCTATACGATGACGTCTTTGTGACATTTATGACAACATAATATACTATGACGTTTTGTGAGATTTTTAATGACGTAGTTTGTGTGACATTTTTAAGCAGAAACTATACCAAGACGTTTTTGTGACATTTCTGACCGCATATTATAGTAAGACATTTTTGTGTGGTTTTTGACGACATACTATACTATGACGTTTTGGCTACACTTTGAACTGCATACTATAGTAGGATGTCTTTGTCACATTTTTCATGACATACTATACTATGACGTTTTTGTGACATTTTTGACGACATACTATACCATGATGCTTTTGTGTGGTTTTTGACGACATACTATACTATGACATTTTTGTGAGGTTTTTGACGATATGCTATACTATGACGTTTTTGTGACATTTTTAACGACATACTATACTATGACGTTTTTGTGTGGTTTCTGACGACATACTATACTATGACATTTTTGCGAGGTTTTTGACAACATACTATACTATGACGTTTTTGTGACATTTTTGACGACATACTATACTATGACGTTTTTGTGACATTATTGACGACATACTAAACTATGATGTTTTTTGACATTTTTGACGACATACTATACTATGACGTTTTTGTGACATTTTTGACAACATTCTATACTATGACGTTTTTGTGACATTTTTGACAAACATACTATACTATGACGTTTTTGTGTGGTTTTTGACGACGTACTAAACCATGACGTTTTTGTGAGGTTTTTGGTCACGTTTCAGAATGTCCTGAAAACGCATCAGGATGTAGTATATAGTGG